GATTCTGAGTGGATTCTATAGTTAAAAAACAATGGCCGCTCCAAAGAATTACGGAGGACGCGGCGAGCTGGTACTGCTGTGCGCGCTGCTGGGTGCGCTGGGAAAGATTGGGAGAGGACAGATCCACTACTCTGTGCCTGAAGAGACCGACAAAGGATCCTTCGTGGGTAACATCTCCAAGGACCTGGGGCTGGAGTCGCAAGAGCTTTCGAAGCATGGAGTCCGCATCGTCTCCAGAGGTAGGACGCAGCTCTTTGCTCTAAATCCGCGAAGCGGCAGCTTGGTCACCGCGGGCAGGATAGACCGGGAGGAGCTCTGCGCTCAGAACGCGCGATGTTTTGTAAATATTAACATCCTAGTTGAGGATGAAGGGAAACTTTGGGGAATAGAAATCGAAATCACTGACATCAACGATAATAACCCAAAATTTCAGGTCGAAAATCTGGAAGTAAAAATTAACGAAATCGCCCTGCCCGGAACACGTTATCCACTGCCAGAAGCTGTGGACCCGGATGTGGGCTTGAATTCCCTGCAGAGCTACCAGCTCAGCCCCAATAACCACTTCTCCCTGGAAGTGCAAACCGCAGACGACGACGGAGCTGTAAGCCCAGAGCTGGTGCTGGAGCGCGCCCTGGACCGCGAGGAGGAGGCTGCTCACTACCTGGTCCTCATCGCCACGGACGGAGGCGAACCGCGTCGCTCCAGCACAGTGCACATCCGAGTGACAGTGCTGGATACAAACGACAACGCCCCGGTTTTTGCTCAACCGATTTACCGAGTGAAAGTCCCAGAGAATGTGCCCCCGGGGACTCGGCTGCTTACCGTAAGCGCTAGCGACCCGGATGAAGGAACCAACGGGGAAGTGGCTTACAAATTCTGGAAAATTAGTGAAAAACAATCTCCGTTATTCCAGTTGAATGAAAATACTGGCGAAATATCAACAGCGAAGAGTTTAGATTATGAAGAATGTGCGTTTTATGACATGGAAATACAAGCTGAAGATGTGGGGGCACTTCTGGGGCGGACCAAAGTACTCATTTCAGTGGAAGATGTCAATGACAACAGGCCCGAAGTGACCATTACATCTTTGTTTAGCCCAGTCCTGGAAAATACTCTTCCTGGGACAGTAATTGCCTTCTTGAATGTGCATGACCGAGACTCTGGGAAGAATGGTCAAGCTGTCTGTTATACACGTGATAATTTACCTTTTCAATTAGAAAAATCAATTGATAATTATTATAGATTGGTAACTTGGAAATATTTGGACCGAGAAAAGATCTCTATGTATAATATCACAGTGGCAGCCTCAGATCTAGGAACCCCACCTCTATCTACTGAAATTCATATTGCCCTGCAAGTGGCAGACATCAATGACAATCCACCCATTTTCCCTCATACCTCCTACTCAGCCTATATCCCAGAGAACAACCCCAGAGGTGCCTCCATCTTCTCTGTGACTGCTCATGACCCTGACAGCGGCAGCAATGCCCAGATCACTTACTCTCTGACCAAAGGCAGCATCATGGCGGCGCCTCTCTCCTCTTATGTCTCCATCAACTCTGACACTGGTGTCCTATATGCTCTGCACTCCTTTGACTATGAGCAGATCCAAGACTTGCAGCTACTGGTGACAGCCAGTGACAGTGGGGACCCTCAACTCAGCAGCAATGTGTCCCTGAGCCTGTTCATACTGGACCAGAATGACAATGCACCAAAGATTCTGTACCCCATGCTTCCCACTGATGGCTCCACGGGTGTGGAACTGGCACCTCGCTCTGCAGAACCAGGATACCTTGTTACCAAGGTAGTGGCAGTGGACAGAGACTCAGGCCAGAATGCCTGGCTGTCCTACCGCCTTCTCAAGGCAAGTGAGCCAGGACTCTTCACCGTGGGGCTGCACACAGGTGAAGTATGCACGGCGCGGGCCCTGCTGGACAGAGACGCACTCAAGCAGAGCCTGGTGGTGGTGGTCCAGGACCATGGGCAACCCCCTCTCTCAGCCACGGTCACACTCACCGTGGCCGTGGCAGATACCATCCCAGATGTCCTTGCCGACATGGGTAGCATCAGGACCTTAACCAACTCTGATGATTCGGACCTCACACTGTACCTGGTGGTGGCAGTGGCTGTCGTTTCCTGCATCTTCCTTGCCTTTGTCATCATGCTGCTGGCGCTCAGGCTATGGCGGTGGCACAAATCGAGACTTCTCCAGGCTTCCAGTGGTAGGTTAGCAGGCCTGCCAGCCTCAGGATTTGTGGGCATTGAAGGAGTACAGACTTTCCTGCAGACCTATTCCCATGAAGTCTCCCTTACCTCTGACTCTCGGAGGAGTCACATGATCTTCCCCCAGCCCAACTATGCTGACATGCTCATTAGCCAAGACAGCTGTGAGAAAAATGACACCTTGTTAACATCCATAGATTTTCATGAATGTAGGGATGAAGCTGCTTCTGTTCAGGTGAGTTCGGTTCATTGTTTATGTTTATTTCTTAGAAGAATTATATTTTTTATAAATTTAATTTGCGTTTTGAAACATGCATTGTAAAGAAAGTTTACAGATAGCTTTTAAGGTGTACCGCAGAGTTTGGGGTTTGTGCTAGTGACACAGTAAAATTGAGTTCTAATCATCATAATTGTTTCATCTGCTTTCCAAAGGCTTAGACAAGATTATTTAAATATGAACTCTTAACCTCTTAAAACTTTTCATATTTTACCGTAATTATCATCTATTCACTTAAGAAATAGCTACCCAACCATATAAGGTCAGTTCATTTTATATATAGGAATATGTGTGTGTGTGTACACATGTATATGTATAGACACATAAAGGTATATATAAATTAGAACTTACAAAAATTATTGAGGTTTCTAAACCCTTGTATTACATTAGTAAAAGTAAAATACATCTCAGGATTTTTAGGATTCTTAGGATTTCACCTAAAACTAGGTTCTTGAAAATTTCTTCAGTTTAAACCTCTTCTATGAGTTCTGTGTCTGTATTGGTACCCTTCAAAGCTTTAATACTTCTCGTATTTCAAAGCAAACATATTTTAAAGGGTGGTGGTAGGTAAGACTGGTTCCTCAATGTTGTTTGTGTGTCAGTGGTCACCCAGGACTCATACCAATGGAGACATGGCATCTAAAGCCTAAAATGGCCATTGCCCTCCCCATCAAATTTTAAATAAAATGTCATCTTAAAATTGTTGAAAGTGACCTCTGTAAAATGCAGATGAACACATTTCATTAGAATTCCAATGAGCTGTTTTGACCGTACAGTCATGTGAAATATGCTGTGTTCTCATGGTTAGAGTTTGAGTGTTACTTTTAAGAAAAGAAGTTACATGTACACAAATTTTAAACAAGCCAATCGGTTCAATTAAAAATGATTCCATTTGGACTCCTGCATCCCTTGTTATAGAATTTAAATAAAACTAACGGTTGATTTGTCATCAGATGAGAGTGGAAAGTACAAAGAATTATTTGTTATCAACTAAAAAGACATTTCTGAGGGATTGTGCTGTGTTTCCTCCAATCCATAGATAATGGTAGGAATTAGCTTTATATTCTGTAGTGTTTAGGTGTACAGTCACTCGCAGAGACAACTATTTTGTTGACACTTTGCAAATTTAAAAAGTGAATGGAAAGTTGCCCCAGTACTCTTGCTGAAAGCATTCACTAATTGCAAATAATAATAATAATAACCAATGGAGTAAAATAATTAGAACAAATGTCACTATATTCAGTGAATTTATGTAAATAAATTTACCATGAACTCATTTCCTCCAATTCTGAAGCCATTACTTCAGTATAACATGTATACATAGATAAGGAAGTAATGCGTTCTACTAGAATATCCCTTTGTGACTTTGTATTGAAGGACAGACAAGTATTTCAATACATTTTAAGAGTGAATTTATATAAGATGTTGGGTATGACATAAGCCAGTTAATTCTGAGAAATGAAGTAGGATGTACACCAAATAATCTCCGGCTACATCACAGGGACAGTTTTTCTGAATGACTACTTCTTGAGTTAGAAGAGTAAAAAGAAATTATTTTGTAAAGACAGTGTTGATATATGAGAGGAGATGTTTGAGGATTGGTACAAAATTACACAACAAAATAATTTTCAACAGTATTGATGTTCTCTAATATATGTGACATAAGTAGCACTGATTATGTAGACATATGGGGTAAACACAGGAATCAATGAAAGAAGCTTTAAAATTTTTAATATATCATAGCTAATAAACAGAAATGATTCATGGAATTGGTAGACAACAAACTCTCTGAGGGCAAGACCTCTGTCTTATTCATTGTTATATTGCCACTGACAAGGACAGTGCTTAGCACAAAGCAAAAGTTCAGTGTATGTTTGCACAATGGTGAAATAAATGGACCAATATATATAGCAGCATGCGCTTTCTTGCTTCTGCTTGCGCTTAGTCTCCGGTGCTGCCGTGTAGACTAAGTGAAGTAGAACCAAGAAAGAAGTTTTACCTCACCAACCAATTTTTGGAGGTCTTGTGAGATCAAACAAGACCAAAAAGAAAAAAGAAAAAAAGAAAAAAAGAAATGGACCAATATATATTAACTTTGTAAACAAACCTAACATGGTATTTCTAACAATTTAGAAACAAGGCTTTAAATAAGTCTTGATGATTTAAACTATTAAATATATTAGCATAAAAATACGGCTTGTTAAGTTAGGCCCGCAAGTTTATAATTATGAGAGCCGGTTAAACTGAAGCTGCAGGGGCTGCAGTTCCCCAGTGTGGACTCTGGGCGCCGCTGTTGGCCAAAGTGGAGAGCTTGGTACTGGGGACTTCCTCGCGCAGCCGCAGCTCACGTTCCCTGTCTTAGACTCGCTAGCGTAAGCCTTTCCACCTTTTCCTTCTCTAGAGAAGAAACCCTCCCTGACCCTCATAAAGCCTTTGGGAGCTCCGGACGACTGCAACAAAGACATTATTTGTAATCCGGCGTCTCCAAGCCGGTGAGCAAACTAGGGGGTGGGGGGAGCGAGAGGGATGGGGAGCGGCGCTGGGAAGAGCTGCTGGTCTGAGAGGCGGCCAGTGCTCTTTCCGTTCCTGCTGTCTTTGTTCTGCCTGGCGCTCTCTGAGCAGATCCACTACAGGATTCCCGAGGAGATGCCGGAGGGCTCGGTGGTGGGGAATCTCGCCAAGGACCTGAGACTCAGTGTCCACGAGTTACCAACTCGAAAACTGCGCGTCAGTTCGGAGAAGCCTTACTTCACTGTGAGCGCGGAGAGCGGGGAGTTACTTGTGAGCAGCAGGCTAGACCGGGAGCAGATATGCGGGAAGAAGTCAGCTTGTGCTCTGGAATTTGAGGTTGTTGCTGAAAATCCATTGAACTTTTATCACGTGAATGTAGAGATCGAGGATGTCAATGACCACACGCCAGAATTCTCGCAAAATTCCTTTGAGCTGCAAATAAGTGAGTCTACGCCGCCAGGCACGCGATTTATATTAGAAGTCGCGGAAGATGCAGACATTGGCTTAAACTCTCTGCAAACTTATAAACTTTCTCTTAGCCCTAATTTCTCGTTGATAAATAAGGAAAAACAAGATGATAGTAAATTCCCGGAACTGGTATTGGAGAAACCTTTAGACCGGGAACAACAGAGTTACCATCGTTTAGTCCTGACTGCCTCAGACGGTGGAGATCCACCCCTAAGTGGCACTACTGAGCTCCAGATCCAGGTCACTGATGCCAATGATAACCCCCCGGTATTTAGCCAGGACGTATACCGAGTCAACCTTGGAGAAAACGTGCCCCCAGGCACCACCGTGTTGCAGGTGTCAGCCACCGATCAGGACGAGGGCGTCAACTCAGAAATTGCTTATTCCTTCTACAGGACCGGGCAAGTCTTCGGTCTGAATTCAAAGAGTGGGGAAATTACAACGCTAAAAACACTGGATTTCGAAGAAATCAAGGAATATTCCATCGTGGTGGAAGGGAGGGATGGCGGGGGACTGGTTGCACAGTGTACAGTTAAAATTAGCATTCAAGATGAAAATGACAACAGACCAGATATTACATTCCATTCTCTAGTCGAAATGATTCTGGAAAACGCAGTGCCAGGAACTCTGATTGCTTTGATCAAAATATATGACAGAGATTCCGGGGAGAATGGGGAGGTTAATTGTCGATTAGAGGGTGAAGTACCTTTTCAGATAATTTCTTCCTCCAAAAATTCATACAAATTGGTAACAGACGGGACCCTGGACCGAGAGCAGACCCCGGAGTACAATGTCACCATCACAGCCACTGACAAGGGCAAGCCGCCTCTCTGCACCCATACAAGCGTTACCTTGCATATTACTGATGTCAACGACAATGCTCCGGGTTTCCACCAGACCTCCTACGTCGTCCACGTGGCAGAAAACAACCCGCCTGGAGCTTCCATCGCGCAAGTCAGGGCCTCTGACCCCGACCTAGGGCCCAACGGCCAGGTCTCCTACTCCATCGTGGCCAGCGACCTGGAGCCGCGCGCGCTGTTGTCCTACGTGTCCGTGAACCCGCAGAACGGCGTGGTGTTCGCGCAGCGCGCCTTCGACCACGAGCAGCTGCGCGCCTTCGAACTGACGGTACAGGCCCGCGACCACGGCTCGCCCGCGCTCAGTGCCAACGTGAGCCTGCGCGTGCTGGTGGGCGACCGCAACGACAACGCGCCCAGTGACCTCAGTGACCGGCCTGCGCCCTCTGACCCCCAGGCTGAGCTGCAGTTTTACCTGGTGGTGGCCTTGGCCTTGATCTCGGTGCTCTTCCTCCTCGCGGTGATTCTGGCGGTCGCCCTGCACCTGCGACGCTCCTCCAGCCCTGCTACTTGGGGCTGTTTTAAGCCTGGTCTCTGTGTCAAGTCTGGACCCGCGGTTCCTCCCAACTACAGTGAAGGAACTTTACCTTATTCATACAATCTGTGCGTTGCCCATACTGGAAAGACAGAGTTTAATTTTCTAAAATGTAGTGAGCAGCTGAGTTCAGGACAAGATATACTTTGTGGTAATTCGTCTGGGACCTTATTTCCACTCTGTAATTCCAGTGAGTCGACTTCCCATCCCGAAACTCTAATGGCGGTGAGTTCCATTTAAGTATCTACTCCTTTTCATCATCTTTGCAATTTTTTAATTCATATGAAAATATATTGCATTTTAAAGTCTAACGGATTGCTATGGAATTATTAGAGCTCATCCGAAAGCTGTATACCCAGCCTTCAAGGGGAACGGTGAATTGAGAATAGGTATGTGACAAAATACCTTGCCTAGTTAAGATTTACCAAGTTGAAAAAAAAAAAAAAAAAGATTTACCAAGTTGAGAGAGTATGCTCTAGGCTTCACAACACAAGTATTTTTGCCAATTTCTTATATCTTTTCTAATCTAATGAAATTTACCCATTACTTTTTTAATTCTTCATTTAACATATTTAGATGTTTGATATAATTTGAATATATAAGTAAACATTAAATTTAAAGTAGGAAAAAAATTAAATAGGTAGTCACTTAATTGATTTTTTAAAGCAAAAAGACCACTACTTGGTGTCTTCCTTCACTGATTTCACTGGTACAGTTTACATCTATTTCTTATATTTATTCCTCATGTCTAATTCCTTAAATCTACCTATATGTGAGTCTTTGAAGTCCTTAAAATTTAAAGAAAAAATACTATGTGATATATTGTGTGAGAGGGACTCAGTGAACTCATCAGAAAATCCAAGTCGTTATCTAAGTCCCTTCAAATTTCCTTGAATGCAAAATCATCTTCTTTATAGTTAACAGAAGGAGATACTTGATAAGAGAAAAGAAAATGCTTCTCCCTCTATCACTTGCTCTCATACCTGACCTATTTTTTTGAAGCAGAAAGAGGGGAAAGTCACTGTATTTGTCTTTTTACTTAGAGCCCTAAACATTAGTGACTAGAGGTTTACTCATCTTCCTATCTGTAGGAGGGAAGGAGAATTCTGAATTATTTTTAAGGCAAAATCTACTAATTTCAAGCACATACAAAGATGCCATTACAGAAGCATCTGTCTTTTGCCTGTTTTCTGCTAGGAACTGCTTCAGTAAATAATTTCTTTACACATTGCTGAAAGAAATTTCTTATTGTGGTGTTTAATTTGTTCTACATCTTATATTTTTTCCTCAAATTATTACATAAGTTTAGACCCTTGTAATAGGAAGTTTAATATTATTATAATATTGCTAATTTCTTGATGAAGAAACTGAAATGGAAACTTACTTTACAGGGTATGTTATTTGAATCTTCCAAATGCTGTATATGAATTCACATAGAAAACTAAATATTTAAAAAATTGAAATAGGCTAAAAGTTTAACAACCATAACTATGTAAATTTAAAAAAATTTAGCAATATTAGATGAGAAATTCTAGCACCATTATGTAATTAAATTTTGTAAACAACATCTTAAGGAAACTTTACTCCAAGAATCTCACCATGAAAGTAAATGTCTTATAAAACAGCTTCAAATTGAGTAATCTATATATTCATTCAATATAATTATGTAAATACAGATGTACATCTAAAATAAGAAAAATATGGATATATTTCCAAAGAGGATTGCACATTTTAATTACTTCAGAAAATAACGACCTATAAAAAACAGTTGCAACATTATAAAAAATGAAATTTGAATAATTTACATATCTAGAAAGAGCAAAATGCTGTCAAAAATGAGAGTAAGGTTGTGTGATATTAATGACATTTAATAGAAGTTTCATGTCACCTTATTTCCAACTAAAATACCCACAAATGGTCATTGCTTTTGAAATATAAATGCATGACACAGAGAAATCTAAAATCACAACGGTAAGAGAGTAGTGTTTTGTCAGTCATCTATAGCAAAAGTATTTCGCATCTCAGTGGGTGTAGTAACGGCTAAGGACTCTGAGCGCCGCTGTTCACCAACTCTAAGAAAAGCTCAGTCAGCTTTCGGTCCCGGTATTAGGGTCTAAAACTCCACAAAGCCGCTCGGATCCCACAGACAGACTCTCGGGGCTGCAAGAGTAACTCAGCCTCTGAACTTGGGGCACTACGGGTTTCTCCTGAGAAAAAAAAGATCGCCATAATTTGCAGGAGGAAAATAGAAGCTAAGGAATCAGCGTTCACAGGAAGTATTCTGAGGGGAAAAAAACCTTGAGTGAAGCAACAATGGCCGCTCCAAGGAATAGCCTGCACCGCAGAAGACTCTTCCTGTTGTGCCTTTTCCTAGGGAGGCTGTGGGAGACGGGGGCGAGCCAGATCCGCTACTCTGTACCTGAAGAGACAGAAAAAGGCTACATCGTGGGGAATATCTCCAAGGACCTGGGGCTGGAGCTCCGCGAGCTGGCAGAGCGGGGAGTCCGCATCATCTCCAGAGGTAGGACGCAGCTCTTTGCTCTAAATCCACGAAGCGGCAGCTTGGTCACTGCGGGCAGGATAGACCGGGAGGAGCTCTGCGCTCAGAGTGCTCGGTGTCTGGTGAACTTTAAAGTCCTGGTTGAAGACAGGGTGCAACTTCACGGACTAGAAATAGAAGTCACTGATATCAATGATAATAACCCAAAATTTCAGGTCGAAAATCTGGAAGTAAAAATTAACGAAATCGCTCTGCCTGGAACACGTTATCCACTGCCAGAGGCTGTGGACCCGGATGTGGGCTTGAATTCCCTGCAGAGCTACCAGCTCAGCCCCAATAACCACTTCTCCCTGGAAGTGCAAACCGCAGACGACGACGGAGCTGTAAGCCCAGAGCTGGTGCTGGAGCGCGCCCTGGACCGCGAGGAGGAGGCTGCTCACTACCTGGTCCTCATCGCCACGGACGGAGGCGAACCGCGTCGCTCCAGCACAGTGCACATCCGAGTGACAGTGCTGGATACAAACGACAACGCCCCGGTTTTTGCTCAACCGATTTACCGAGTGAAAGTCCCAGAGAATGTGCCCCCGGGGACTCGGCTGCTTACCGTAAGCGCTAGCGACCCGGATGAAGGAACCAACGGGGAAGTGGCTTACAAATTCTGGAAAATTAGTGAAAAACAATCTCCGTTATTCCAGTTGAATGAAAATACTGGCGAAATATCAACAGCGAAGAGTTTAGATTATGAAGAATGTGCGTTTTATGACATGGAAATACAGGCAGAAGATGGTGGGGCATTGAAGGATCGGACCAAACTCCTCATTTCAGTAGAAGATGTCAATGATAATAGACCTGAAGTGACCATTACATCGTTATTTAGTCCAGTGAGGGAAGATGCTCCTCAAGGAACAATAATCGTTCTTTTCAATGCTCATGACCGAGACTCTGGTAAAAATGGCCAAGTTGTTTGTTCCATCGAGGAGATTCTACCTTTTCAGTTAGAAAAGTCAGTAGAAGATTATTATAGATTGCTGACAGTCCAAAATCTTGACCGAGAAAAAACCTCTGAATATAACATCACAGTGACTGCAACAGATAGAGGAACACCGCCTCAGTCCACGGAAATTCACATCACCCTGCACGTGGTTGACGTCAACGACAATCCACCCTCCTTCTCTCAAACCTCCTACTCTGTCTACCTCCCAGAGAACAATCTTAGAGGCACTTCCATCTTCTCTGTGACAGCCCATGACCCAGACAGCAATGAGAATGCTCGAGTTATTTACTCCTTAGAGGAAGACACCATCCAAGGGGCGCCTCTCTCCTCCTATGTCTCTATCAACTCGGACACTGGTGTGCTGTTCGCACTGCGCTCCTTCGACTATGAGCAGTTTCGAGATCTTCAAATGCAGGTGAAGGCAAGTGACAGTGGGGACTCACCACTCAGCACCAACGTGTCACTGAGCATATTTGTGCTGGACCAGAATGACAACGTGCCAGAAATCCTGTATCCTGCCCTCCCCACTGATGGCTCCACGGGCGTGGAACTGGCACCCCGCTCTGCAGAGCCAGGATACCTGGTGACCAAGGTGGTGGCAGTGGACAGAGACTCAGGCCAGAATGCCTGGCTGTCCTACCGCCTGCTCAAGGCCAGCGAGCCAGGGCTCTTCTCGGTGGGGCTGCACACGGGTGAGGTGCGCACAGCGCGGGCCCTGCTGGACAGAGATGCGATCAAGCAGAGCTTGGTGGTGGCGGTCCAGGACCACGGCCAGCCCCCTCTCTCAGCCACCGTCACGTTCACGGTGGCTGTGGCTGACAGCATCCCCGACGTCCTGGCTGATCTGGGCAACCTTGACTCTCCTGCCAACCCCGAGGACTCCGGCCTCACACTCTACCTGGTGGTGGCGGTGGCCGCGGTCTCCTGCGTCTTCCTCGCCTTTGTCATTGTGCTGCTGGCGCTTAGGCTGAGACACTGGCACATGTCGCGTCTGCTCCAGGCTTCCGGCAGCGGGTTAACTGGCGTGCCGGCGTCTCAGTTTGTGGGCGTGGACGGGGTGCGGGCTTTCCTGCAGACCTATTCGCACGAGGTCTCGCTCACCGCGGACTCTCGGAGGAGTCACGTGATCTTCCCGCAGCCGAACTATGCGGACACGCTCATCAGCCAGGAGAGCTGTGAAAAAAGCGAGCCTTTGTGCGTTTCAGATGATTCCAGGTTTCCTATAGAAGACACCCCTTTCGTTCCAGTGAGTTCGTCTTTTTCTTTACTTAAAAAAAATTGATTTTCTCTTTAAGTGCTTTCATTTAAGGTAAGTTGATATTAACATATTTCTCACCATACATTTAAATCTTAACTAAGCCTAATTTTTTGCTCAAACACCTATAAGTGTCGGACACGACTTAAGGACTGAACAACAATATAGGAGGCATTTATTGGTTACATCGTTGAAACAATCTTTGCTTTTTCATAATAATTAACCTAGGGTCAGTGGAAACCCTCTTGGGACAGCCCTCATCATGGTGACCACAGTTCACTACTAATTCTTAGGACAGGTTTCTGTCCTGAAATTTATTATTTTTGTTGTCTGCAGTGGCTACATTGTGAAATTCTTACTCTGAAAACATGTCTACACTGATGCTATTTTTGTAAGGGTAAATTAAGAAATGTATTCTATTTGGAGAACTAAGTGAAAGTTCAAATTCAGTGCTTCTCTTCTGTTTCTATGACCAGACAACACCCCTGAGAGGTGATGTGTTTCAGGTCACATGTTTGTAGAAGTTGTTTGCATTTAGAGATAATTTCTGAGGATGATTCAAGCTTCAGTTATTATTTCCATATCCTCATACAGCATGTTTTATTCTTTTAATGGTGAAAACATTGCTGTTTATAAACAATAGACATTTAATTTCTGTGAAAAATTTTAACACCATTGGTTCTCATCCTCTTAATACTATAATTGTTAATAGTGTGAAATTCTCCTATACTTTATATTTGCTGAAGAGCATTTTCTTGGACTGGACCCTATGAGAAGACAAAACATGGGAAATTAAAATTATTTTTCAACTGTTATTTATGACTCCAACTTTTAAGGCTAGAAATAAATTTGGATATGGGAGATGTTTTGGAAAAATATTCTCAGGAACTACTAGGAAGGATCTAAGAATATTCACTGGCTTTTAGATATAAAGAAAATAATTATTATTATGTAATGTGATTTTTAACACAATGTTAGTTCAAGTAATAAATGACATTGTAGGAGACTTTGAAAATAATATTTGAAATTGACTCAAAATTCTATTTTAAACATGCTGAATATAAGGGCTAAACATGCCTGTCCATCATACAGATGTTTTAATTATTTCAAATGCTCTTTATTCATAAGCAAGTAGGAAAGACATAATGCATTGCTCAGGGTCATATTTTTAAAAATGCAATAGGAAAACTATCATTTAAAGTTTCTGTCTTGGGGAGTAACCTTTCGTACTTAGTATACATAAATAGTAAAATATGTGTTAATGTGGAAGAAATAATAACAGAAATATTTATGAAGACTGTATATCATGGTAGGTGACTACTATTCTGTGCCATAAAAGGTAACTTGTCTTTAAAAACAGCCCACAAGGCTCTTTGGATGGATGATTGGGCAGACTGTGAAAAATGCTGAATTCTTGTTTGCTTAAATCAGGCAGGACTTTTGCATTGGTAACAGTTTATATAATAGGCTTAAGGATAAAATTCTTCCCCATCTTAATGTCTTGTCTCTAAAGAAGAGTTAATTAAAATATCTTGGATATATTCAAAACAATGAGTTAATGAAATATGTAGTAAAGAATACCTTGTGTTGATCATCTTTGCAGTTGGGTGAGGGGTAAATGAAGATTCAATAATAATGCTCCTTAACTTCTTTTGTAAGTTTGAAAATTTCCACAATAAACTTCTTGAAAAACTAAGTATAAAAACACTGCCCGTATACTTTACTAAAACTAAAACTTGGGCAATTACATAACTATATAATCTATAGATAGATATATATTCTGGGCTTCCTTGGTGGCTCAGTGGTAAAGAATCCTCCTGCCAATGCAGGAGACACCAATTCGATCCCTGGTCCAGAAAGATTCCCCGGAGAAGGAAATGGCAACCTACTCCACTATTCTTGCTTGGAAAAAAAACCATGGATAGAAGATCCTGGCGGGCTACAGTCCATGGGGTCGCAAAGAGTTGGACACAACCTACCGTCTGAAAAACAACACAATCTGGAGAGAAATTGTCTCAAGACTAAAATATGAGACTGCGATCCCACACGAAGCCTCTGGGCGTCGCTGTCGGCCAGTGCAGGGCTAGCGCTGACACCCGAGATTCCTCAACCTCCAGGCTGGGATTGCCAGCGCAGCTACGGATAGAGAGAAGGAAATCCGCTCACACACCCAGGCTCCGGGCTGGGCACTCTGTGCCCAGCACAAACGGATTCCCAGCTCCGCCTGTCCTGGGCCGAAAGTTCTTCTAGTGATGCCGTGAACTGCAGTTTCTTTGGCTTTTCAGAAAGATTGGGACCCAGCGAGAACTAAGGCGCGCAATGGGAGGGAGCTGCACGCAGACACGTCCGGCTGACCGGAGGCAGGTACTGTTTCTCTTCCTGCTGCCTTTGTTCTACCCCGCGCTCTGCGAGCAGATCCGCTACTCGATTCCCGAGGAGCTGGCCAAGGGCTCCGTGGTAGGGAATCTCGCCAGGGATCTAGGGCTCAGTGTTCTGGATGTGTCGGCTCGAAAGCTGCGAGTTAGTGCGGAGAAGCTGCTCTTCAACGTAGACGCGGAGAGCGGGGACTTACTTGTGAAGGACCGAATAGACCGTGAGCAGATATGCAAAGAGAGAAGAAGATGTGAATTGCAGTTGGAAGCCGTGGTGGAAAATCCTTTAAATATTTTTCATATCATTGTGGTTGTTGAAGATATTAATGACCATGCTCCTCAATTCGATAAAAAGGAAATACATTTAGACATTTTTGAATCTGTATCCGTAGGTGCACGAATATCCCTGGACCCTGCCACTGACCCCGATATAAACATGAACTCAGTTAAAGATTATCAGATAAATCCTAACCCTTATTTCTCATTAATGGTTAGAGTTAATTCTGACGGTGGCAGATACCCAGAATTATCCTTGGAGAAACCCCTAGACCGAGAAGAGCAGCGATCCCATAGCTTGATATTGACTGCCTTGGATGGAGGGGACCCTCCACGAAGTGCCACCGCTCAAATAGAAATCTCTGTCAAGGACACCAATGATAACCCCCCGGTGTTCAGCCAAGAAGAATATAGACTTAGCGTTAGTGAAAATCTACCCCCTGGGTCCTCCGTGTTGCTGGTGACAGCCACGGACCAGGATGAGGGGGCCAATGCTGAAATAAACTACTACTTCAGGAGCACTGCCCAGAGTACAAGACACAAGTTCTTATTGGATGAGAAAACAGGCATGATTAAGAATAACCAGTCATTGGATTTTGAGGATATAGAAAGATACACCATGGAAGTGGAAGCAAAGGATGGAGGTGGTCTCTCTTCTCAATGTAAAGTAATCATAGATATCCTCGATGAAAACGACAACATCCCGGAAATAATCATTACTTCTCTCTCTGATCAGATTTTGGAGGGTTCTCTACCAGGAATGGTTGTTGCCCTTTTCAAAACACGGGACCAGGATTCCGGAGGAAATGGAGAAGTCACCTGTCATGTAGGAAGAGATGTTCCTTTCAAGATTTATTCTTCTTCTAATAATTACTACAAGCTGGTGACAGATGGGGATCTAGACCGAGAGCAGACTGTGGAATACAACGTCACCATCACAGCTACTGACCGGGGCAAGCCTCCTCTCTCCTCCAACACTACCATTACCCTACGCATCACGGACATCAACGACAATGCTCCGCTTTTCCACCAGGCCTCCTACGTCGTCCACGTGGCAGAAAACAACCCTCCTGGAGCTTCCATCGCGCAAGTCAGCGCCTCCGACCCTGACCTAGGGCCCAACGGCCAGGTCTCCTACTCCATCGTGGCCAGCGACCTGGAGCCGCGCGCGCTGTCGTCCTACGTGTCTGTGAACCCGCAGAGCGGCGTGGTGTTCGCGCAACGCGCCTTCGACCACGAACAACTGCGCGCCTTCGAACTGACGCTGCAGGCCCGCGACCACGGCTCTCCAGCGCTCAGCTCCAACGTGAGCCTGCGCGTGCTGGTGGGCGACCGCAACGACAACGCGCCCAGGGTGCTGTACCCGGCGCTGGGACCCGACGGCTCGGCGCTCTTCGACACGGTGCCCCGCGCCGCGCAGCCCGGCTACCTGGTCACCAAGGTGGTGGCGGTGGACGCAGACTCTGGACACAACGCCTGGCTGTCCTACCACGTGCTGCAGGCCAGCGAGCCCGGACTGTTCAGCGTGGGGCTGCGCACGGGCGAGGTGCGCACGGCGAGGGCCTTGGGCGACAGGGACGCGGCCCGCCAGCGCCTGCTGGTCGCTGTGCGCGATGGGGGACAGCCGCCCCTCTCGGCCACCGCCACGCTGCTCCTGGTTTTCGCCGACAGCCTGCAGGAGGCGCTGCCGGACCTCAGTGACCGGCCTGCGCCCTCTGACCCCCAGGCTGAGCTGCAGTTTTACCTGGTGGTGGCCTTGGCCTTGATCTCGGTGCTCTTCCTCCTCGCGGTGATTCTGGCGGTCGCCCTGCACCTGCGACGCTCCTCCAGCCCTGCTACTTGGGGCTGTTTTAAGCCTGGTCTCTGTGTCAAGCCTGGACCTGGGGTTCTCCCCAACTACAGTGAAGGAACTTTACCTTATTCGTACAATCTGTGCGTTGCCCATACTGGAAAGACAGAGTTTAATTTTCTAAGATGTAGTGAGCCTTTGCATCCCACTCAAGACATAGTGTGTGGTGATTCTCCTGGGGCCCTAATTCCACTTCATAGTGGGAATGACTTGGCTACACATCCTGAGACCTTAGCACCGGTAAGTTTCTTTCTTTCTTTTTTTTCTTCTGTAATATTCTATTTTTTTTCATATTTTGGGCATACTATTTCACTTTTACATCTAGAATCATATTTAGAAAATCCATAACTAATCACTGTCTTGTCTTATCAGTTTTTACTGACTGCATTTTCAAGACTCATTTTGTTCATAAGTTGCCCTGTAATTCAGAAAGGATGTCACTAAATTGGAGATATCTTTTCAAGCTTAAGTTAGCAAAACAGGCTGTGGTCTTG